CTCTCTCTCTCTCTCCTGATGTCCTGGCAAACAATCCGCCAGATAAAACTGGTCACTCGCTCCACGGCTGTTTGCCGCACTTTGACGGCCACATTTTGGCGGACAAATCCACAAAATAAAGCTGGTCATAAATCCCGTGAAATTGCTTTGGAACGTCATAAAAATTACTGTCCATCAAAGGCAAATGGTTGTTGGGTTTCGCTTTAAGCGCAGGCCCTTCGCACGAGCGACTTTGCTCCTTGTGTTAACGATCTCTTAAAACCAGATCAATCCCGGACTTCGGCACGAGCGGACACCTAGTCAGCAACTTTCCGTCAACTCATCGTAATCGCTGCAATGTACAAACTGGGCTATAAACGGCAATTGCTGTACAGGGTGTTCACAAAGTCCTGTTATAACCACCCCCACCCCCCCACCCCTCACTCCCCGCATTTTTTTTTCTTACGCGTAAAGAAACATGGGGGTGCCAACAACAAGAACAACAAATTGCATTCGCATAGCGCTTTCACATCGGGAGGACATCCCAAGGCGCTGGTCAGTCTGGAATTTGGACCCGCGAAGATGAGGGCCTTCAGATGCGGCCTTGAAGGAGGCAAGAGAGGGAGCGAGGCAAAGGGACTGTGGGATGCAGTTCCAAAGGGTGGGTGGGGGCAGAGAGGCTGAAGGTCGAATACTTGTACAGTAAGCCGCACATAAGAGGACTTTGTGAACATCCTGTTAAATGCCCAATCTTGGTTTGATGTGTGACTGATGCAAGGTTGAAGCTTGCCCTTGCGCTCACAATCTGTACCCTGTTTGGTAACCAACAGAAAGAGCGCAAGGTTGAGGAGACCTTTATCAAGAGCCCAAAAAAAAAGGGAGAGATACTGAAATCCGATTTCACAACGAGTGAGAGTTCAACACAAGTCACAAGAGTGAGGCATCAGAGGGAGCTCAGTCTTTGTGAAACCAGTCACAGCAAAAGGAATAAGGAGCCCTCGAGAGGAGGAGAGGGAAGGAGCGACAAAAAGCATTGCGTTGTGTTTCGGGGGCAATAAAACCTTGAACCTCGATGAACTGCTGTATTGTCCCAATTCTATATTGTCCCAATGTTCCTTTCGTTTCCGAGGAACATGCAGAGCTGCGTGTATCGAAGGGACACTTTGCCAGACTTCCCGAACTTGCCCAGATAAAATTGGTCGTTCACATCAGAATTTTCTACAAGGCGAAAGAAGATCAAGGTACATCCAATTCGCCTTCCACCATCCTCTCCTGGCAGTCGCTTGACATATCGTGGCCCAAACTATATACTGGATCTCCAGATATTATTTTCACTGTGTGGCTGTTTGCGGGACATCGCTGTGTGCGGTACTTTGCCGTGTTGTCCTGTAAAAAAAAAACACAAGCACTACACTGGCCAGTAAAATTCTGTGAAGCGCTTTGAGATGTTTTGATGCGGGAAGGCGCTATATCAAATACAATGGTAATTGCATTCCGAGAAAAAGGATTTACCAGGTGGCTATAACTGTATGGGATTCCAAGCCCTACATTGTCATCCAGTCAGCAACGCACAGAGCTCTCATAAGGGATGGTCGAGTGTGGGTAAGACAAGAGTGACTCGGAGGTGATATCCTGCCACATGTTGCTCCACTAACCATTCATAAAGTGTAAGTCCAGGCAATCATGCCTGTGACTCACATGTTAAGAATGGCTCCTTTAGGGAAGGGAAGGCTTGGGGTGTGTCTGTGAGTCGCTCAGTATGAGTCACTGACATGAGGAGAGATGGGGGACAGAATTGGCAGGAGGTCATTACTGCATAGAAAACACTAGTGTTTTGTCAGGTCTAAATCCAAATCCTAAATCCCTTCAAACAGGATGTGGTGATGAACCTTGATCACGCTCACTCCATCTGCAAAGTCATTCTTTGTCATAGATCAGTAAACACTTTTGAAGCAGCTCAACAGACCAGGGGTCAATGGGGTTCGAATCCATCCATAGACTCCTGTAGAGTAGTGGTTACTCCTGTAGAGCACTGAGACGCCGACCGGCGTGGAGGGTGCTATATAAATCCAAGTTGTTGTTGTTCGACCACTCGACTCGCAAGCAAGAGGACCCAGGTTTGATTCCTGGCAGGGCGAAACCTTAAACAAGTTTCCTTACTCCACACGCCTCTGTTTACCTAGCCTTAAGTACAACAACAACAAGATTACATTTGTATAGCGCCTTTCGCATCGGGAGGACGTCCCATTACTTTCCAAGTAGGAACCCCATTGTTAGTCGATTGGCGGATTGCTTTCCGGGGGTGATAATCCCTTCAAAAACCAAATAATAATTTGGCCACTCGATCCACGACTGGACAAGGCGCTATATCAAATGCAAGGAATATTATCATTATTAAACGTCAAGAGTTAACAAAAACTTGCGTTTAAATTGCAGCCTTCGTGCAGGGTAGTGTCTCGAAGCGCTTAAGAAGGGTAGGGATTTATTCGTGCGGTAAACTGCAACACATACAGGTGAAATTAAAAGACTCCAAAGGGAATTCAACACTCAGGGGTTTAGAGAAAATTGCTGAAAACTTGGGTTTGGATGCGATTCCAGATTGCCCACTGCCTCCGCACCGCCTCAGACACATCTATCGACCAGGAGGAGAAAATCAGCTTGAAACCGACACACAAGAATGGTGGGTTGAAGAACAACGCTGGATTATGGGCGTGCACTCAAATGCATTCCAATGTCTGATCCTGATTTAAAGATAATAACAGCTGCTCTCTCTCTCCCCCTCCCATTTCGCTCCCCTATCCAGGAAGAGGTGGAAGTTTCTCCCTGCATCCTGGCTAACAACCAAACCCCACCACAACCACAATAAAATGGGTCATTCACTTTATGGCCGTTTGTGGGCTGTTGCTGTGTGAAAATTCGCTGCCGCTTTCGCCTACAAAGTACACAGTCACTACGCTTCACCACCCACCAAAAAAAAAAAGCCCTGCTGAAGCACTTTGAGATATCTTGGAAGGTATGCTGCAACAAATGCAAGGATTGTAGATATATAAACGTGATGCCAAGGGCCTCACACGAGAGAGAGAGAGAAAAAAAAACACTGAGAAGATAAAACTGCAGATGGAAAGGAATATTTTTTTTTGATTGTTTTTTATGTCTAATTTGACAACCAGTGTCGCAACATCAGAACTATGGAGGTTCAGGTCTAAACAAGTTATAAGAAATCGTATCCGTCAAAAAATGTAAATAGTCTGCTTTCAGTGCACGAGTACTTTCCTATCTTGCCCGCGCCAGTTTTTGTTAAGAGGCACTTTGCCCAGACATAGTCTGAGCTGACACTCCAATGCAGTGCTGGGAATGGGGGGGGTTTAATGTTGTCAGAGGTGCTGTCCTTCGGATGTGACATTAAACGGAGGTCCTGTCTGTCTGTTCAGGTGGATGTTAAGGATCCCATGGCGCTATTTGAAAAAAGTAGGGAGTTTCTCCCAGTCAAGTGTATCTCACCCAAGGAGCCCACTAACCACACATAAGCCCCAGGCAGCCAATGTCCACAAGTTATTTGACTGCTGCGATGGCTAAAAATCATAGTCAAGCCAATTCTTGTTATCGGCCAAAAGCAAAGAACATCTGCTTCCAACAGGAATCTCGAGAAACAAATGAAGAAACAACAGCAGGAACAGCGTTGTCGAGACTTGTCACCAGTGCCCGTTAAGTCTCGCTCCAATTAAGACCCAGTTTCTCAATACAGACCGGGAATCAGAGCCCAAGGCTTTCTGCGGAGCGTGTACTTATTCTCAAGATAGGTGCTCCGAGAGGCTGCCCCGGATGAAGGGTCTATGGAAACGCAAGTTGTTGTATGGCCCAGCTACTCGCCTGTAAATCTGCTGAGCCATCAGAACGTGAAAGGTCTATGGAAATGCAAGTTGTTGTTGTTGAATGGCCCAGCTACTCGCCCGTAAATCTGCTGAGCCATCAGAACAGCTTCCAAAAATATTTTTAAGCCAAGGCCGTAACAACACCTTATCCAGTTTCATCAGATAGCCAAATAGAGACCCCCCACACCGGGCAGTTGCCAACACTGACGCTGGCTCATTTGATAATGGGTGGTGGCAGCAATGGTATAGCATTGAAGGTATGAATTCACTTAACATTTAACTACAACCAAGCTTACCCCAACTGCTCAGTCAGAACCAAGAGCTTGCTATAGTTATACCAAGTACCTAGATTCTCGATTGCCGTTGAGATACTATTCCCTTGACACTGAAGCACCAGTCACATTCAAGGTTGGATGTTAGGTGACAGCACATTTGCCCAAACCACAGGAAGATTAGTCAAATGCAACTCAGTGAGTGGGTTAGACTAGGAGCCAGATCACCACCACCCAGACATCAGCAAAGCCAAAGGAACAGCATTAAACAGACTGCCCGAAGGCAAAGAGGAGCTGGTCTTAATCCCATTAGTTTGTTTTCTGCGACTGTTGTTGTAATAGTAATCCAATTCTCAAGTTACAAGTCCATGCAAAACTCTGAGAATCAGTTAGCAATTAACTCAGAATTTGGAAAGTGTAGGATTGCTTGAAAGTGGTAGCATTCCCGCCTCGGAGTCCGGTTGTGGGTTCAAGCCCCTCTCCAGGACTTGGGGAGTCACATAAGTCTGAGATGACACTCCAATATAGCTCTGTCCCAGTGTCCTGGTCAACAAATCCCCCAAATAATAAAAATTGGGTCATTCACTCCATGGCTATTTGTGGGACTCTGCTGTGTGCAAACTAGCTACTGCACTTCACCCACAACAGCCTGTGAAGCACTTTTGAGATGACTTGACAAAGTGAGAAGGAGCTATAATCGAATGCAAGGATCATTATTATTCAGTCCGTATTTGGAATAGCTGTTCACAGTGTTGCAGTGAAATCCGATTACTCGATAACCCGACTGGAATTTCCCCCGGCTTCCCAATGATCTGGACTTCCTCATCGCGCAGACAGATTCCCTTCCACGTCCACCCACCAAATAAAAGCAAGATGCTTTTCCATTGAAAAAAGTATGCTTTTAATTAAAACTCTTTAAAATAGAAAACTGTACAATTCCTCCAATATGCCTGTACAATACTTAAGAAAAAATGTACAACAGCTTAGATTCACATAGCTTAAACTGCCCCCACCCCATCCCTCCCCACCCACCCCCCACCCCCCACAAAAAAAACCTTGCACTGGGTACAAAGTTGACTAATATCTGCACGATAATCGCTACCAAAAGGGAATCTGCGGGGTTCATTAAAAACAGCTTTGCATTAATACATAAAATCAGTGTCAGTTTTAAGGTAAGCTACAGGAATCCTTTCACAGTTTAGTCAAAAAAAAGGCAGTGGATGATTTCTTCCCCGCCCCCCCCCCCACTTTTTATATATAAACATATTAAGAACTGTAAAACTTAATGGAAACTGATCCCCAAGTTACACACAATACTTAAAGAACGTCGGGGGCAAAGCATCGTTTCTTTTAAAAACATTTCAGTTGATTTTTTTTTAAAAAAAACATGGTCAAGACTCCTGCATTGGAACTTTTAAGCTTTTTAAAAAAAAAGGGGGTGGTGGTGGGGGGGGGGGGTTGGAAGGTGGAAAAAAAGTATCTTCATACCAAAATATACCAAAGTTGCAATCCTTTTTTTTTAAAAACTTGGAAAGAAATCTCTAAAGTGTTCATTTTCAGTGCTGTGTTAAAATTTAGCTGCCAACGTTCCACGTTGGGGAGCAAGGGTTCGGGGGTGAAAGGGAGGTTTCCCCACAATAATAAAAATAATTCTTTTGAGCAAAACATTTACACGTAGCCAATTAAATCCCTATCCTCAAGAACTACTGGTAACCACAAATACAGGATGTATTGGGGGTTACAAATAGTGGGACAACTTTCTCCAAAAACATTCCACTTGTGAAACAAGACTTAACTGCGATGCCGGAAAAAACGTTTCACAATTGAAGCTAACATCCCATTCGAGAGAGAGATCTATATTTTATATATATATGTATAAAAAAAAATCCCTTGCAGAAGATTTTCCCAATCCATATAGATGGAGGTTTAAAAAAAAAACCGGATAAAAAAATATTCCTTCTGTATACCACAACTGGCCGGATTGTTTTTTTTATCAGGGTTTTTTTAAAAAAATATTGTAAAAAAAAATCAGGACGCAGTATTTTTGTGCGTCCCAGTGTTTTAAAAAAAAAGCCACTTAAGGAAGGTATAAGGTACACTGCCGAATTCGCAAGTTGGAGCTATTTATGTGTATATTTATGGGGGGGGACTTTCGTTAATATATTTTAAAAAAAGAGTCTCAACTTGAAACGGTCATCCAGTAGTTTTTGGGAGGGCTGGACCTGCCCATATTGAGCTCGGTTTTGCAGGTCAACATGCCCCTGGTATTGGTGGGCGGTGGAGGGGCTTCGTAGAGGACGCAGATGGAGCCGTCTTCGCCGATGCGGTAGGACACCTCGTAGGGGTCGACCCAGAGGGTGAGCTCGCTGGGGAGAAGCCTGTACAGCTGGTTGCTGGTCAGTCCGATTTTGTTGGCAGCTCTTCCTATCAAGGGGTCCATTTTGTGGTTGATCCGGATGCAGCGATATCCAGAGCCTTTGCAGGGTTTCTCCGGGAACCAGTGATGTTTGTAATGTTCTGAAATAGGAGAGAGAGAGGGAGAGGGAAAGAAATAGGAACACAAGAAAATGAGAAATTAGCATTTGGTGACAAGCGCAAATGACGTTCGCACTGCGCCTTTCGTTAGTAAAACAGCTTACGCTAAAACATTGACGGTTTAAAAATAACTATGTTAATATCAATTAAAAATGCCACTTTTTCCAAAGAATTACTATCTCAGCCACAAGCTTTTGTTCGGCTTTTTAAAAAAAAAAATTTGGAAGAAAGGGGAGAAAAAAACGTTTCATTGAGCAAAACAAAACTGCTACTTGTGTTTTCCTTTGAGCTTTTAACAGTTTCAAACTTGGTGCGAACGAAACAACCTGAAGGAAAATATTTTTTTTAAAAAGTGTCCCAACAGAAAGAAAGAAAACTTTTGCCACATTTTGTTTTACTAATAAACGTCATTATTTACAGTTGCGGCCGCAACTTTGGTTTTTAAACAAACTTTGAAGGAAAGAGGGAACAAAAAGTTTCAGCGGCTTTGGCTATAAAGAAACGAGACGTGGAAGCAAAAGGCTTTCGACTTCTTATTTTTATTTACCAAATACAAATAAAAAAGCTTGAAACAAACTTTCTACCCAGTGGTTTCTCTTCCAGAGATGGCAACAGCTTCCACTGAAGTTAAATGAAGTCGAAGATAGTTTTTCTCTCCTAAAGGACTTGAGAGGTGGGGGTTTTGTTTAAAAAAAATCTTTTTTAATTTGTTGTTGTTGTGAAATTAAAAAAAAACTTTTTTTTAAGTGAGAGAGGTATATTAAAAGAGATTAAACTATTTAGATTGTGGTTTTTTTTACCAGCTAATTAACTCTAAAGGGGGGGGGGGGGGGAGAAAAAAAACACCCCCCAAAGGGTTTTGGGTGCAAAAAAAAGTTTAGTTACTTGTAGGAAATTTAAAAAAAAACTTTTTTTGAGAGAGGGAAGTATATTAAAAGAAATGAAACTATTGATTTTTTTTAACCAGTGAACTAACTCTAAAGGAAGGGAGGTGGTGGGGGGGGGGGGAGGAAAAAAAAAAACACCCCCCAAAGGGTTTTGGTTTCAAAAATGACAAGTTTGGTTACTTGTAGAGGAAATGTTCCCATATTAAAAAAATTCCCTTTTGTTCTGCGTCACATATAGTGTGGACTTGTTTTTTTTCCCCAAAAAACTCTCGGCCTTATTTTCTTTCTTCACGTACAGTAACTTTTTTTTATATATAATAATAAAATAATAAAAAACAAAAAAGTTTCTTTGGTTTTTATGACTTTCCCTCTATTTGCATTAATCATAACAACCATTAAACCTCGAGGACGTTTTTTTTTCGTGGCTTTGCATTTTTAGGCAAAGAATTTTTTTTGTGGTTAAAAAAAATAATAATTTTTGTTAAATATAAAAAAAATGAACAATTTTTTTTATATTATTTTTTTTCTTCTCTCTGTCTGTCTGTCTGTCTGTCTGTGTCTCTGTCTTTGTCTCTCTTTCTCTCTATAACCCTCTATAAAAGTTCAGGTTTGAGAGAGAGAACATTTTGAGTTGAGGTTAACAACGAGTCACTAAAACAGAACTTAAAACAGAAACCAGAAATAAAACAACAATACACAGAGAGAGAGAGAGACAAACGCGCTGCAAACTGGAGACCGACAAAACTTTTATTATAACACCTTATTTTTTGGGGGAGAGAGAGAGTGGGGGAGAGGGAGAGAGAGTGGGGGGAGAGGGAGAGAGAGTGGGGGGAGAGGGAGAGAGAGTGGGGGGAGAGGGAGAGAGAGTGGGGGGAGAGGGAGAGAGAGTGGGGGAGAGGGAGAGAGAGTGGGGGGAGAGGGAGAGAGAGTGGGGGGAGAGGGAGAGAGAGTGGGGGAGAGGGAGAGAGAGTGGGGGAGAGGGAGAGAGAGTGGGGGAGAGGGAGAGAGAGTGGGGGAGAGGGAGAGAGAGTGGGGGGAGAGGGAGAGAGTGGAGAGGGAGAGTGGGGAGAGGGAGGAGAGGGGAGAGGGAGAGGAGAGAGTGGGGGAGAGGGAGAGAGTGGGGGAGAGGGAGAGAGAGTGGGGGAGAGGGAGAGAGAGTGGGGGGAGAGGGAGAGAGAGTGGGGGAGAGGGAGAGAGAGTGGGGGAGAGGGAGAGAGAGTGGGGGAGAGGGAGAGAGAGTGGGGGAGAGGGAGAGAGAGTGGGGGAGAGGGAGAGAGAGTGGGGGAGAGGGAGAGAGAGTGGGGGAGAGGGAGAGAGAGGGAGAGAGAGGGGGGAGAGGGAGAGAGAGGGAGAGAGAGAGGGGGAGAGGGAGAGAGTGGGGGAGAGGGAGGGGGAGAGGGAGAGAGAGTGGGGGGAGAGAGAGAGAGAGAGTGGGGGAGAGAGAGAGAGAGAGTGGGGGAGAGAGAGAGTGGGGGAGAGAGAGAGAGAGAGTGGGGGAGAGAGAGAGAGAGAGTGGGGGAGAGGGAGAGAGAGAGTGGGGGGGAGAGAGTGGGGGGAGAGTGGGGGAGCGATCGATCGGAACGATCTTCGTTAAGAAAACGCACCGAGAACCCCGTTCCGTTAACGAAAACATTCCCAGTCGGGGGAATAAAAGGTGCGGCACAAGGCACAAGCGCTTCCAGACGCCTCGACCGGGTGGGAAAGGCGCTGCTGCCCCGGGGGGGGGGTGGAGTGGAGTGGGGGGGGTCGCAAAGGCTTAATCGCTGTCTGGTAATTATTATTACTATTGGATCATCATCATTGTTATTAGTATTATTATTATTATTATATATTATTATTATTATGATGAATAGACGCCGCACTCACCCGCCAGAGATTCCTGCAGCGAGTGGCTGAAGACCTGCAGCTGTCCGGGGCTCACTAAGCCCGTGTTGCGGAGTAGTCTACTCACAAAGCCCACGGCCGCCGAGATCTCCATGGCTTTGGGCTTCTTTCCTTTCTTCCTTTCCTTCTTTCTTCTTTTCTTCCTTTCTTTTTCTTTCTTTCTCTCTCTCTCTCTCTCTCTCTCTCTTTCTTTCCCCTCTTTTCCACTCTCACTCCCGTCTTCGAATACCCCCCTCACACACACACACACACACACACCCGGGAATCCCCCCCTTCGTCACCCAAACTTTCTTTTTTTGTTGTTGTTGTTGTTGTTGGGGGGGGACACACGACACACTCCTGGGGGTCTTGGGGTCTGGTCTCCTCTTCTCCCCTTTTTTTCTCTCTCTCTCTCTCCCCTCTCTCTCTCTCCTTGAGGATAAACCTTCCTGGGATCCTTCTGTCTCTTTTCCTTCCTTCCTCCTTCTCTCTGTATATAGATATATAAAAAATATATATATATATATATATATATATAAAATATAGAGATGGGGATCAGAGCTCTCAATGCAGAGACCCCACAGGAGAAGAGGAGGAGGGAGTGCTGAGGAGGGAGGGATGGAGGGAGTCCTGAGGAGGGAGGGATGGAGGGAGTGCTGTTGCCCACAGAACCTGCTGTGGGTGTGTGGCTGTGATGATGGTGATGACCACCCCCTGGGGTACCCTTCTCGCTGGTGATGGATGGACAGACGGACGGATCACCCCCCGAGAGCTCCTTCTCGCAGCTCCGCTCCGCGCGGTCTGTCTCTCCTCGACCGCCGGCGCCTCCTTTTATAGGGTGGTCTCACAATGCCGCGACGTCATCCGAGGGGGTGGGCGGGGCGGGCAGGCCCCGCCCATCGCCCCGCCCCCGCCCCCCCCCGGGCGCTCCGATTGACGCGGCCCCTCGACCAATCAGATCTCGAATCGCCACAAAGGGCGGCCAATGGCGGCGACGGGCGTTGGGGAAGCGCCCCGCCCCCACGCCCGTAGGCTTGCTGACCAATAGGAGTCTAGGGGCGGGGCGAGGGGGGAAAGGGGGCGGGGACGGGGCGTGGCCAGTGAGGGGTGTTGGGAGGGGAGGGGTCAATGACGTGAGTGATGGATGACGTAGGAGCAGCTGGTCTTGTTACTGGGAAATTTAGCCACAAAGAAGCTCAATGGCTCTCATAGAGAGATGGTGGCACAAGGCAGCCCTGACTCAAGGGGGAGGGGGTTCGAGACCACCCACCAACCCCTCCCACCAACCCCCACCCACTAATCCCTACTAGCACCCACCCCCCCCCACCCCCCACCCCCCACTAAGCCCCACCAACCCCCCCACTAACACCCACCCCCCACCACACACCAACCCACCCCCCCCAATAACCCCCACCCCCCGCCCCACCCCCAACGCCACCCCCCACCCACTAACACCACCCCCCACCCCCTCCCACACCAAACCTTACCGAGGCAAGTGCCCCCCACCCCCCCCCCCCAAAAAAAAACCGCGTCACGTCTCCCAGGGGTTTGGTCCGTTTCCGCCCTTCGAGCTCTGGGTCCGCGGGGCGGGGAAACCAAGTGGGTGGTGTTGGGATGGGGGGTTGGAACGGCTGTCTTTAAGGCACCCGGGTGTCGGAGTTCGTTTTGAATGAGTTTCTGATGGAACGGTGACTCTATTTTAAGTTACTCATCTCGGGGTGTGGGCGTTGGTGACCCATTTAACACCCCGTCCCCTCGTCGCCCTGACTGAGCGACTTGCTGGGCCGTTTCAGAGGGTGTTAGGAATCAGCCATGTCGCGTGGAGACTGGAGACACGTGTCAGCCTGGCCGAAGGGTTGGTAGATTTCCTTTCCTGAAGGGCCTGAGTGAACCAATTTTTGAGTTTTTGCATCAAAACAGTGGCTTTTGTGGCCATTTTTCTGATGTTGCCACAAATCACCAATTTTTCTTTTTCTAAAAAAAAATCAAATTACGCATCGCCCACAAAAATATACAGTTAATTCACTTTCCAGTATGTTCTGTGAAGCGCTTTGAGACGTCTCGATGATGTGATAATGTGCTATGTCCAATGCAAGGATTGTTATTGTTATTAAAGTGGGAATCGATCCCATGAATTCCGGGTTCACTAACAGTAACATTGCCCCAACACCACCTTTCCCAAACCCTATCAATCATTCTGAAAACACAGTGAACATAACAGGATGGACTAAGCCATATTCAGGATAAGCCTGAACTTGTTTGAGAAAGTGTTCAAGATGTTTTATTGAAACGTAAACAGTTTTTTGTTGGCAAGTTACCGGTTGTGTTAACTGGTTATTATAATTGTTTATGTTACCACACCCTGTCTTGGTCTGTTTTGGTGCTTTGACTGTGAATGTAAATTGTTTAATTCTAATACAAATTGTTTTGGGAAACTCACTGCTTCGCTCCAAGTGACAGAATTGAGACAGAGCGGAGTTCCCGTGTGCACTCGGGCACTTTTTTAAAGTCTATTTACATCTAGAAATTGCAGCCTTTTATGTATGTTCCAGAGCAGCAGTATCCTGTAGTTTGCATTCTGTATACCAGGAGCTTTTGTTAAAACAGCACTGCGTTGTTTGAAAGATTAGTTCAGTTCAGAAGAGAGAGGAGTAATTACCCCCGATCGAGTTTCAGTGTTTAAAAACACTGCTTTCACAACTAGATTCTAAAACTGCGGATTTTTTTTTTAATCATCAGGTGAACAGTATCTGAGTGGAGTAAATACATTTAACCGTGTAGAGATATATATATATATATATACATATATATTTGGAACACAGACTGAGATCCAGTAAAGCAGGGCTTCAGTGGCAGATGGGTGAGATGTACGGAAATCCTGTCATCATTGAATGCTGAACAAAGGAAGTGAGACGTCATGGCCATTCTGTTGGGGAACAAAGAAAAGTCCTGTGGTTGCACAGTGCATGCGGCAGCCATTGGTTTTCCTCTGTGATTTCATGACTGTTTCTATCAATCAGAGAAAAAAACCCCACTGTTTTAAAAATAGACCCCCAAAGCGTACAGGTTTGAGGATCCAGTTTACTCTTTCTCGAATAGACTCGGTCGCTTTTTTTTGTTTTATCGCTCTTTTATGCAGTGACCACCTGTAGGATGTATTTCCTGCGAAAGGTGAGGGGGAGTACTGTTTTTCTGAACCGCTCATTACCTCCGATGAAACACGGTGGTGATGATGATGATGATAACCCTGCAATGATCATCAACCGGATGTAATGTTGGGGGATGTGAGGGGAGGAGAGATATCAGTGGGTTGTGATAAATCTCACTGGTGATGATGATATAATAATAATAATAATAATAATAATAATAATCCTTGCATTTAATCTAGCGCCTTATCACGTCAGAAGACAAAAACATGGCAGCAGAATTGTGCCGTAAACAGCCAAGGAGTGAGTGACCAATTTTATTTGGGGGATTGTTGGCCAAGGACACCGGGAGAGAGAAACTGACAGTTTTTTCTTTTCAAACAGTGCCGCGGGATCTTTAACATCCACTTGAACAGGCAGACGCTTATTTTTAAGTCTCATCCACAGGACCCCAACTCCAACAATGCCACACATCCCCAGCGCTGCATTGGACTGTCAGCTTAGACTATGTGATCCCGAGCCCCCGACGTGGGGCTTGAGCCCACAAAAATCACCCCTGCCATTCCTTCTCCCCAATAGACTCAGACCAATAAAAGTAGGCACCAAACCACATATCAAACAAAGGCTACGTTTGCCTACAATACACAGTTACTACAATTGACAGCAATTACGTGTGAAGTGTTTTTGAGACGTGTGAGACGGGAAGCTTTCCAAGGCAGCTCCTGAGAATAAAGTACAGGGCCTTGCTCAGAGGTAGTCCGTTAGCCTGCAGGCTCGGAAAGACCTCGTCATCAATTCTGTCGGTGCAGATGTTACTTACTCGCTGGCTGGCACATCTGGCAGCAGGGAGGTGAGATTAACATGTTGGCCTTCGCCGGGGCCAACACTGCAATTGGAAACACTCACCCCAATCCCAAGTTTGAATCTGTTGGCCAATCATGTATTCCCACTTTCACTTCTATAAAAGGGTCATCATAACTCAATGGAGGCAGTACAGTACAGTGAGTTCGTGTCAGAGATCCTCTGAAACGTTGCGTAACTTGAGACCCAGCTGGAATTTCTCCCCACTGGTTTCTCGGGAGTATGTATTTTTTTCAGCCCAAATACTCTTGTTTATTTATCTCCTCGCGTTGCACGTTACGTTGATGTTACAGCTCTTAAGAGTAGGTATTTCTCACAAACATGTGGCTAGCCGGGGGAGGGGAGATAGAAAATTATTACCTTGAAGCTGTTAGATGACATGTGTGTGAAAAAAAAAGCCGAGAACATTTATTCATGTCGTTTTTTTTTAAAAAAAGAGAAAGCTGCAATCACATAAAGTATTTAAATGTGCCCACAGGACCTTTATAATACGGATTCAAAAGCCATCTGAACTGTGCCACATGGTGTGGCAGTGTAATCTGGGTTAGACCGAACAGAGGAACACAGTATGGGGTTGGAGTGCTGTTGGACTCACTCCAGTTGCTGTGCTGTTAGTTTGCATATGTGGGAGTTTACCGCGTCTGTGTGAGCCGTTTACAGCATATAAATAGTGAGTCACCGTGTGAGACTTTATCTTCTCTACTGCATGTGGCGTTGATAAGAGCGGATTGATGAGAACATGGTTTCAATTCAGTCTTAAATAAAACCTCCCCCCCCCCCTCCCACACCCCCGCCCCCAAAAAACACGCAACCCAATTCCCATGCGTCCGCTTACAAAATACACAGTCACTAGGCTTTGAAGCGCTTTGAGACGTCCTTCTGACTTGAAAGCCGTTGCTCTGAACACAAGAATTATTATTCTTATTATTAATGTCCCAAAGGTTTTTAAAAATTTTAAAAACTTCCGCAGCTCTGTAAAGGTCCGCTCTCTTTTCTACGGCTGAAATGCACACAGTCTCTTCGCCTCACCCCCTTCCCTTGCCTCCTTCAAGACCCTCCTCTTCCACCGCGCCTTCATCACCCTCCTACCCGTACCCTCCCTGCCCTCCGGCCCTCCTGATCCCAACCCCAACTCGGGTCCAAGTCCCTGACTGCCCAACAACAATGTCATTTGTTGTTGTTGTTTTAAAATTAGGGCCACCGTTCTTTTGGCCGAGGGCTCAATGGGCAAAACACACCTCATGGTGAAGGAGTGACACAGACAGGCCGGGGCAGTGTACAC